TTTTCACCGAATGCATGTCGCTTCAACGTCGAATTTTTTGTTTCAAGTGCGGAAAGTTGGATGTGATAACACCTAAGTGTCCAACGTGTAATCCTGCGGGAAACTCAGTACGGAACGCGATTACGACGGGGGAATCGCGCTCCACTCAAACCCCGCACGATTAGACGCCTCTACGAATACACAAGCAGGCGATGAGTTGAGCCGTGCTGCAAACTTATCTGAAACCAAAACGAAAAATATTATTTCTAGTAAAACAGTAAATAAGGGAAACATAGCAATAACAAGTAATGGGAGTAGGCCATCTTACGAAGATAGACTAAGGAACTATCTCGAAACGCGCCGACGAATTTTCGCGGTTAGTGCCCTAATGGGACGCCGAGGAGTGTCGCGAAGAATACAAAAGACCCGTGAAAGATTCCAACAGCGGAAAACACTGCGGCAAAAAGTCGTAGCGTCGATAAGAAACGCGGATCAACAGGATCCGCGCGTTTACGCAGACATAGAAATAAAAGGGGTATTGACACGCGGCTTATTAGACACTGGGGCGTCCGTAAGCATTCTGGGCCGGGGCTGTCGCGAGTTCGCGGAAGAGATAGGCGCGCCAATCGAACATTACTTTTCTTGTGTAAAAACCGCAGGCGGTCGCGCGCACAATGTGCTAGGCAAGCTCACCATACCTGTGAAATATAAAAACTTAGAACAGAACATTACATTTTTTTTATGCCCATACCTAGAGCAAAAGATTTACCTTGGGGTGGACTTCTGGCGCGCTTTCCGTTTGGCCCCAGAAGTGATATCCGTGAATGAAATTGATTTGACCAAGTTAGAACAAGAGATGGTGTCCGAAGAAGACAGGAATGAGCGGCACGTGTTGCATAGCCTTTCGGCAGACCAAAAAGAACGCTTGGAGCTGGTGGTGAGTGGTTTTAAAACTTACGAAAAGCACGGATTGGGACGTACTCAGTTGGAAAAGCACTCTATAAAGTTGGTCGATGAAGCAGTACCCATAAAAGACCGCCACTATCCATTGTCTCCGGCGATGCAAGCAATCGTGTATGCTGAAGTTGACAAGATGCTAGAATTGGGTGTGACCGAAGAAAGTGAAAGCCCGTGGAGCAATCGTACGACAATCGTCCGTAAA